TATATATATATTCGTATGTACGATACAACTAACAATATTAATATTAAAATATTGCTATAAGCAGGTATTTTGTATTTTCAATAATCAACGATTATTTATTTTTAATTAGTTACAATTGATAATCATTTTTAAACATTTTCTTCTTCACTTTGCTCCACTTTCCCTTAATTTGCTTCTCGTTGGTTTGTTTGCGCGTGTATATGCCATGGCTTTCTAACAATATTCTTTTACGTCTATTAAACGATCATTATTCACCTTTATCCATCCCTTAACTTACAAAATGACATATTATTTAGATTAATATACATTATCCTGTTATTTGTTTTACGAATTGATGTGCTGTGTTTGTATTCCATAGGATAAGAGAACGTAATTGATTTAGTATTGGTGGTTTCTTTTTATATAAATTTATCCGTACAGGGGCTATCGATCGCATACCCGAAGAAAGAAAGACAGCTTCATTGCTTCATTCTTCATCTCCCTTCTGCCTAATGTTTTGTTAAATATCTCCCGCAGTATTACTAATTATGTTTCAAAACACGAAAGTTTGCACGTAATACGTGTATTTCAATTAATTTTTGTTGAAGCAGACACGAGCGCAGCTCACCCACTTAAATTTACCTCAAACGAAGTCAGTTTTCCGCAACATTCCGTTAACATGTTGACATGGTTTAATCCTAAACAAGTGCTCATATCTAGAGCGTCCGAATATAGTAATTCATAAATTAATATTAGTGGATAGGGAATTTGTTATAGATTAGATTTAGATAAAATTGGTGAATAGGTACTATTATATTTGGACTTTTAGGTATTTTTATATCCAGTTGATTATAAGTTTCTTTTAATATAAAAACTTGATTCAAAATTTAAAATAAACTTGTTAAATTTTTTAGAACGATATAATTATTATCTGAAGAAAAAACAAAAACTATAACGTAATAATAAATTTATAATAAACAGGATTGAGCCTATTTCGTATTTACGTTAAGTGTTATTTGCTCTTGATCGTTTGAGCTTTCATACAAATAGCAGTTTTATAAAATAGAAAAGTAGCTACAAGTCATTTGTATTTATTAGCTTGTAAATTTGGGGCTTGGATTTATAAAAGATGTACAAAATAGCAGATAACTAGGTATATGGGACGTCTGTAGAGGTGCGCTGGCTCTGGGCGTACGTACGGATCGATTATAGCGAAAAAGGGCGAAAGAGAGGGGGAAGAATTGGAAAGATCTAGATAGAGGGGGTGAAAGAGAGAGAGAGAGAGAGAGAGCGAGAGCGAGAGGGGGAGAGTTGAAGTTGAAGAATAGACAGCTGGAGAGACCAGTGATCACATTGATGTGAGAATCTGTGAATATGCGTAATGGCAATAGAGAAAAGTGGTACAAGAAGTAGTAGACTAACATGTCGTGATCAGTTCAGTCTTTTTATTTCAAAAGATGGCAAACGATGTCGACTGAGTGATTCAATCCGCCGGGTGTTGCGCAAGCAGGTTATAATTTTGCACAAAATATTACTTAATTATAAATCGAGTAGTGCATGACTCGCTATACATGTGTCAGACAAACCTTTTGACTTTTCGTTAGTGTAGATCGCAAGTAGTTCCATTCTTGCCGTTTTCTCATGCTTGTTTCATACTTCATTGTTCAATTGTGGTGATGTACGAGAAGGTATCGTTGTTTAAAAGGATAATATCCCAATTACCGTAGACAGTTATTAAAGTAATTGTAGATTTTTGGAATGGACGAGACTAAAAATAGAGAGATTTACAAAGAAATGTACGATATCTAGTTGAAGTTAGTTATCAATTCGCTGAAGTAAATCTATATTATTTCTACACTATTACTACATATCTTCATGAATTCATGACATAAAAAATAGAACAGAGTAATTCATAACTTCGTTCAATTGATCTATTTTCGTATTATTTTTTATTTTTTAGTACATGTAAACAATGTTTTGAGTACTTTAGTAATCGATTAATTTCTTTTGACATTTCAATAGTTCTACTGTACGCGTATTTTAGTTTCGCAAATTATCTCAATACATATTCCTTATTAAATATAAAAGTTCTTTTATTTATTAAAGACAAACAAAAAATATAACGCTTTAAGTAATATAAATGTATAAAAAGTACATTCGACTTTGTAATTATCAAATAATAATTAAATATGCAAATAATCATATATTTATTTATATAATAATATTTGTTTATTTACTGTTATTAAAAAAAAAAAAAAAAAAAAAAAACTTTATACAATTAAAATAATTTATTTATTTATTTAAAAGTCAATAATTTATATTTCTAAAAATTACACAGTGTATAAGTAGCCGTTAAAAATCCTTTCTAAATATGATAACGTGTATAGTGTTTATTGTAAATCACTTACAAGTTATCTTTATCTTTAGTTACGCGAATTAAAGATATTAAATTAATAACAAAATTTGAATGAAAATGGATGTGAAAGCGAACGTAGTTAATCAAATTGTTGCAAATTTACACGCGCAATGTTAGTTTGCATGTAATTAGCTAATGTATAAAAATTTCATTTTTTATATTTTTATAAGTGCTAACGAAAGCTTAAGTTGTCTAATTTTATTTAATTTTATTTTTCAATTAAGTTTCACTATTTGTTTCATACTTTATTTCGCAAAAACATAGTAATGTTCCAGCAAACAACAATTAAAAAATTGTAATAAACTTAAACAATATTAATATCAAATAATTATTGTTTGATTTTTATATTATGTTTTAGAAAAGTTATTCTGATTTAATTGTGTTCTAATTTAGCAGTTTATTCGAATTAAATACACGCACACATTCAAACGTAAGCTTCGCGTGCAATAGGATTAATTAATTTTGAAATCATCTAATTTTCTATGACATAATTAGAATTACGAGTTACATATATATATTGATGTATGAATTTTGAATTTTTGTAATAAAATAAAATATATAAATATACATATATATATATATATATATATATATATATATATATATATACATTATATCTATCGATTTATGTTTGATGAAACACAACTTATGCAACAAATTATTAATGTTATAACTGTAATAAAACATGGGCTTACTTGATATATAAATGAATGAGTAAATTTGCTTATTAGGATGCAATTCTTGTAATTAATTATATATATTATATTTATTTGTTCAGTGCTGATAGTTTATGATAGTTTAATACAAAATAATATTAGAAAAACTACATGAATATTGAAATGAGTATTTGTAAATTTTAGTTTGACTATAAACACCATATCGCGTTGATTTTCTAAAATTATTTTTTAAGTCAAAATTTTAATCAGTCTCATTATTTTACCAGTTTTAGAGTTTCAAATTTCACAATTGCGTTCGTTGATAGATCCGCGATGGAACTTAATTCATAACGTAATTGTCTATAATTTTTTTTTATCGATTTATTGATTTATCGATTATATTCTTAATAATTGTTTATCAATATTATTTTTACTTATTTTTTTCACTTTACTTAATTATTATTCAAATAAATGTATATGAATGATTAATTAGAGTGGCAAAGTTAAACGTTTCATTGATATTAAAGTTTTCGTTATTCATTTGAAAGTATTTGTATTGAATTCAATTGTGAAACATTGCAAAATAATAGGCTACATTTAATTATTTTTTTAACTCAACAGAGTTTGTAATTTAATCATTTATAATTATTAATTATAATTTGTTAATTATTAGCATAGAATTTGATTGTCAAATTTCAGTATAAATTAAAAATATTTTATTTTTAATACAAGCCCAAAAATTCTTATTAATCTAGCAAATTAAATGATATTTATTTCTTTATAAGAATTAGAATATCAAGTGCATTGTCATTATATATGTTCAGAAAATTTTACTGGCCAAATATTATTAACGTTTCATTATAAGATTCGTTATCGAAAATTCAGAAACTTTCTAAATACTAAAATAAAGATAACATGTTATTAATTTACAATATATTATAATATATGTATTTATTATTTTATATCGTAATATAAATATAATTCAATAGGATACTTAAATAATCGTATCAATTACGAATTATCAATGTAAATGTGATTTTTGTGACATCGACGTAAATTTAGAATGTATTATCGAACAATATACGTGACAAAATTAATCACTCAATTATTTCAATCATTCTTACTTTTCCGTAGCATAATTTTGTCCAATGCTAAATTTCGTTATATTTCCAGTTCTTCCTTCTCATTACTATGAACCTTTTCGTATTTAGTAATATGCTTGTAATGTATTAAAAAAGGATATGTCCGACTTAATGTTTCAGATGCGGAAGCCACGGAGAGTAGCTCGCTTAAACGCGAGAATATTTTCGCAAGTGTGTGACATTGTTAATAATTGTAATAGGAAAGACATTGGAGTGCATCAGCTTCCAGTGGACATAAAGTTAATTGCCGCAACGATAAGTCTCCTCAGTATGGACAAATCAATTGAATAGCTCATGCATGCATCTTCGCAGATTTAAATATGTTATTTATGATGTATGAAGAATTACGAATAGGTGCTACACCAATAAGCTACCTCTCATTTATGTACAAAACTATGAGGACAAAACTCGTCACACTATTAACAAAGTAATTTGAATTTAAAAGAACAAAAAAAGTATATATTACATTTATATACACAGGCATATACACACGCGCGCGCGCGCGCGCACGCATGCATACATACATAGGCGTATGCGCGTGTATGTGTTTGGCTGTGCATACGCATGAATGATACATCATTATAAACATAAAAAGACAGCATTAAAAATTTGATTACTGGCAATAATTTCTTATAGAATTGTTTATTCTAGTTCTATCTTTCGCACCAACAATTTTGTCGGCTACAACAAGTTTCATCAACTATTTAAACAGCCAATAGTCCATCAAAAATATTCTGGATAATATATATATATATATATATATATATATATATATATATAGCCCAAAGCGTAATAATCAAGAGAGAATTGAACAAGTTATATTATTAAAGCTTACTAACAATTAACAAGTCAAGAAATTAAAGAGTAATATAAGATAATCATGACTGCAGTACCATATGATAGTAATCTTATATTTCTAGTCGTTGTTGGATTTATAGTAGCATTTGTTTTGGCTTTTGGCATTGGAGCCAATGACGTGGCCAATAGTTTTGGTACAAGCGTCGGAGCTGGAGTATTAACCATATTTCAAGCTTGTATTTTGGCCACGGTTTTTGAAATTGCCGGAGCTGTATTAATAGGATACAAAGTAAATAAATGCATAATCATATTGAAAGTTATATTATTTATACTTGTTTACCATTATTATTATTATTATTATTATTATTATTATTACTATTATCATTATTGTTATTATTATTATTATCATTATTATTATTATCTATATTAAAATGAAATATTTCTAGGTTTCTGATACTATGCGCAAAGGAATTTTAGATGTATCGCTTTATGAAGGACATGAGAAGGAACTTATGTTTGGAGCCTTATCAAGTTTGGCTGGTTCAGCTATATGGTTACTATTGGCAACTGCTCTTAAGCTGCCTATTTCCGGTACCCATTCCATTGTCGGAGCAACAGTTGGATTTTCACTCGTTTGTAGAGGCACAGCAGGAGTACGTATAATTTGAAGAAGAAAAAAAAGCAATATTCTTTTTTTTTCTTTTTAACATGAATTTTCATTATCGAGAGCTTAATTCACATTTACAATTGTATTAGGTAAGGTGGATGGCTCTTTTAAATATAGCCGCATCGTGGTTTGCCAGTCCCTTACTTAGCGGCCTTGTATCCTCATCTATTTTTTGGCTTATTCGAAAATCCATATTACGGTCTACTAAGCCTCTTGAGCAAGGTCTTAAAATGCTGCCTTTTGTTTATAGCCTCACCATTGGTATCAATGTATTGTCAATAGCACACGATGGGCCAAAGCGTAAGTTAGATACAATATTTTATCTGAATTATTCAATTGCAGTGTCTTATGCTTACGTAATCATTCAAGACAAAAGACAAGTAAATGCCATATAAATGCAAATGTAATTTGAGCAAAGTTTTATAAGAAAAGTAATTTTTTTTTTTTTTTTTTTTTTTTTTTTTTTTTTTTTTTTTTTTTATAATATCGTTAACAATCAGCTATTCATCATATCATATACCGGTATTCATAAGCTTTGAACCTATTAACAGTTTTATAGAATATAAAATTGAAAGAATACAAATTTGACGAACGAACGCGTCATTTGTTTTAATGCGCAGTTCTGATGCTGGATAGAGTGCCGTGGTGGGTTAGTCTAACTGCCGCCTTAGGGTTTGGCGTTCTTTCGGCTGTGATTGTTTATGCGTTCGTTGTACCCTGTCAAAAAAAGAGGATCATAAAATCCCATAGCAGTAGGAACAACGATCGTGTCCCAAACTTGGATGCCGCGGACAATAAAGAAACGACGGCTTTGTCGGTGATTTCGCAACGTTCTGGTGCGACGACTTGTCACAACGAAACGTCTAAGTAATTACATATTACATATACATGTATAGTCATCTTATCAATTGAACTCGTTGAGAAAAATTTTCTACCTTGTTATGAACGCACTCCGTTTAATGCTCTACGAGAGGATCTAGCCACTTGAAGGTTCAGCCATTTCACCACTCCTATTCCTTCTCGGTTTTTCCATTAATCTTATGTCTATTCTATTCCTCATGTTCCACCTTTTTCACCTCCATTAAACTAATGGTATTCAACGTAATTATGTCTATAAATATCTTCTTCGTGGTATAAATATCCGAATAAGTCATAAATGTTCGTATTCATAGTTGAAATATTTAACGATTGATCTAATAATCGTTAGCGTTATATTTAACAAGGTGTATAATAGTTGCGTTGCAAAAAATTTCAGGAGCCTAGAAGAACCGCCAAAGGGTCAACTAAGAGGCAATAATAGCGCGAGTCCTCTATTATTATCCGCGAGTGTCGGCGATGCCGAGTTTCCTGGCGGTCAGAGTTTGGATGAAGATGCCGTCATGGATTCGGAACATCCGGATGTTTCGAAACTTTTTGCCTTCCTTCAGGTACTAACCGCAGCTTTTGGCAGTTTTGCCCATGGCGGTAATGACGTGAGCAATGCTATAGGTCCACTTATAGCATTGTGGGCCATTTATGCCGAGGGTTCGGCTAAACAGGAAGCTGAAACACCCTTACTGATACTATTGTACGGAGGCTTGGGAATTTCCACTGGTCTTTGGGTCTGGGGTAGACGAGTCATTGAGACGCTCGGCCAGGATCTCGCCAAAATCACTCCTACAACAGGCTTCACGATAGAGGTGACTTTAACAAACATAAACCTTATCTTTCTGCTTAATTAAATATCATTGAATACGAGCGGTTTGAGATTGAGTATTAGAGTAACGATATGTTACCGAGCCTCTGCACGTTACGCAAGTCGTCTTATAATGCATTTTATTACATTTTCCATATATACTTGGGAAAACATTTTGAAAATATTTTTAAGGCCTCAAATATGGTATTTCAAAGAAAAACAAACAAAAAAAAAAAAAAAACAAAATTTAAATTTTCCAAATTTTATTACACTTATTAGTTGTCGTTACGATAATACGAATTTGATAATAGAAATGTGTTTTCGTGGTAGACTTACAAAGTTATTAGGATCGTATTACATTATTAGGATATTATTGCATCTACAATCCGCTTGTCGAATTTCAACGCTATAACCGACTATAGTTAATTAATTTTCAATTGCTCTACAAAAGTACATATGTCGTTTAAATAATTAATAATCTAACATTTATCGATACAATCTGTGGTTATTTAAAAGTTTATTTATAAATGCATATTTTGTTCTTATACGGTTGAATTTGCAATAAAAGGGAGACTAACTTTTTGTCTAACTTGAAATAACTTTAAAGATTTTAATAATGCACGAAGAAATTAATCGGACAATTAATTATAATAATAAATTAAATGAAGAATAAGAATATGAAATGGAATTAATTTTCGCATTCGGTGAATTTCCAGATCTCAATTTACGGTGAATCCACTATACCACTATATCCACTATACCCTTATGAGTCATCTATTTTGCTCGGCTGAAATTATTCGTTTATCGTTAGGTTGGCGCGGCAGTGACAGTGCTACTGGCCAGCAAAGCTGGCCTCCCAGTTTCGACAACTCACTGCAAGGTCGGCTCCGTCGTCTGCGTCGGTTGGGCCTCGAGAGGAGGCGAGGGTGTCAGCTGGGTGCTCTTCCGCAACATCGCCTTCGCCTGGCTCGTCACCGTCCCCATAGCCGGCTTACTCTCCGCCGGCTGTATGTTCGTCTTCCGGCAGCTTATGAATGTCTGAGGCCAGCCGATGCGAGCAACGTACGCGCGCGCGCGCGTACACCTACACGGACACTAGAGCGCGCAAGCAAGCACGCACGCACGCACGCACGCACGCACGCACGCACGCACGCAAACAAACAAGCAATCAAGTACGCATGCAAGCACGCACGCACAAATGCACGTACGCGCGTGTGCCCACCCAACAACCACCACCAACGCAACGCAACGCAACGCAACGCAACGCAACGCAAGCGCAACGCAACACAAGCGCAACACAAACGCAACACAAACGCAACGCAACACAAAACACAATATCATACAATACAACAAAACATAAGGCAACATAAAGCGAAGAGACGGGCATATGTAACATACGCTATACAAGATAAATCCGCATGTTTGCATATACGGTTTAACGAGGGTATTGCGTCGATATACCGCAGAAATTATTTTCAAGTGGATTATTTTAAAGAGCCGTTACTCACTGCTAATTATGATAGCAACACTAATTAAGACGATCTAACGTTATTTTGTATTAAATCTTTACTATAATTGATATAGTTTTAAACAGATACTCTATGCGGCTTTTATTTCAACAGGGTAAAACGTTGCTTCTTTTCTTCTTACAATTGTTTAATAATGTTACTTTATTTGAAAAGTTTAATGCCCATCTATTTTCAAATAATACGATAGATTATTTACACATTGTTGACACATTGTTGACAATCACTTTACTATTAAATAAGAGATATACTACGATATTGTATCGATGAATATTAGATTATTAATTATTTATTGTTTTATCTATTGTCAGATCGGATAAAATGGTAAGATAATCTTGCGTTAGTTGTAGTTAATTATGATTAAAATGAACCGTTATTATCTTAAAATTCGTTAAGATTATGCTTTCTCTCTGAAAAGTGTCTAAAAATTGAAGGAAGCCTGATTATACATTGTAACATAAAGATAATATTTTTTCATTCATGAAGTAAATAGTTTGATAAATTGATTCGTGCAAAATGTTTCCGAAAACAGTGATAAGTATTTTGAAAATTTTATTTTCATACTATTTTGCTTGACACTCTTTTGTATTTAATACTATATTCTTCGATGCATCCACACGCTCACGTGCATGCATTTATACGAAAACCTAATGTGATATGATGTCTATTCTTAATTAGAAACCTAATCGTATTTTCTAATAGTTCAAGCATTTTAAATATTGTATTTTAGATACTAGATTAGAAAGGCGGCTTATTTTATAGTTCTAATGATAACATTTATCGTATTAACATTAATTATTTATTGCGATTATTATGCTTATACGAGTTACACTTAAATACACGAAATTTGTGTGCGCGTGTGCAGGCACGTCCACGCATGCAGACAAAAAATTATTAAATTATCGATATTTGCTGAAGAATAATAGTTTCTAGAAAAGAAAATTCACTGTTTTAATGCAATGAAAAGAATTTTGATCAAAAATAAAATCAGCTAACAATGTTATGAAGTTTATGCGTACATATGAAAGGTCGATTGGATGTTTCGATTATTGACCAAATAATAAATAATACGTTAAAAAAAAAAAAAAAAAAAAAAAAAAAAAAAAAAAAATAGTTATTACTTTTTTTTTATTAATTATTAACGAGTTATATTTATCTATTAACCATAAGTGAATAATAGTCTTTCTAATTGATGGTTGAGTAGTGAGTGATTAAAACATAGACATCTTTTATGAACCTAAAAGGAATTTTTTTCTTTTTTTTATGTTTAAGCTATTTTCATAAAATTTCATATCTAAATTTACATTTGTCATATTATCAATGATTTGCTAAGACTTTATTAAAACATTTCTATAATTATACCGCGCATTACACTTTTATTATATCTTTCATAAACAAAAACAAAAACAAAAACAAAATAAAAATATTAGATTTTTCAATTAAATAAATTAATAAATCAAGCTTTTAATGCTTTAATAAAAAATTCTATGAGAAAACACAAATGACGAAAGTAAGAGTGTAATAAAGTTTTTCATAAAATTTTGAATTTTAAGTGAGATGTATTTGTAATTTATTAACTTGTGCATTTATTACTAAAATGTCTTATAATAATTTAACACTGAAATCAATCATTTTCACCATATAATATAATTATACACGAATTGAATATAATGAAAGGCAAATAATTGCTCCGACTATAAAGTAATGAACTCGAGTTAAATTTTTCATTAAATTACTTAAATAATACATTCATATAAATATTTACGTAAAGTCTGTGCTTTACAAGCGTATTATTACAATGATCTAACTATGTATTGTCATGGTGATTAATGTCGTGATTGATTCTTACGCAAATAATTGCTTCATGCTTATGAAGTTTCGTTTATTATCGATAGTACAAGATTCAGCGTCAGTAATCGATTCACCAATCCAGATGTTATTATTATATAACCGTTGCTGATATTGTGCAGCGTTTCGCGTCGTTAAGAAGAATTAATTGTCATAACAACGTGATTCGGCGGGCATTGCGAGTGCAAGTACGTTTCCTTCTCTGGATGTTTTTAGGAATCAATATAGTGCAGTTGTTATAGAGATGGCGATGACGAGCCGACGTGAATTGAAGCAATGTTTGATTCAATACAATAAACAATGAAATTTTATTTTTTCAATAAAGTGCTTACATCCGAAGTTTTTGTTACTGTGATTTAATATTATATTGGATGTCTTATCTTGTTGATATGGAAAGTTTACCACTATTACCGGGCTATACATTTTCAAACTGCAATTCTACGGTATGGAACAGCAGTTAAAGCTAGAGTACCGCAAATTTCAATATTTTCATATTTTGCTAATTTATGATAATTGACATGATGTTAAGTTCACTTTACATGTAATTTAAAACTGCCTTTTATAACATAACCTTATAGCTATATTAATAGGTTTAAGTTTCATTAAGTAAAGTTGATGTTGAGGTAATGAAAGGTACATTTTTTTTTTAAATGTGAAGGTTTTTTCTATTATGCTTGGGAATTATGAAGCTCTTATTAATGCGTGAAATGTTAAAATATATCATTGATAATTTTAAAAGAAAAATATTAATTAAAATATACGTTAATAATTTATGTCAATTTTAAGATATGAGATATTTTATTCGTACAAAAATTAAATAAATATATGTATAATATGCCAAATTTTTAATGGGAAATATCTTTTATGAAAGAGACAATTCTTTTTGACGTACTGTAAATGCTAAAAATTATAAATTTAAACTATTTATAAATTGAAAGTATAAATAAATGTAAGTTTATGAATTTAAGTATTTTAATAGATATTTTTTTTTTTACAGATAAAAATAGGATTTAATATTTTTTGTTAGAAAGAAAAATTTTTATAAAATTGATTAAAGTTTTTTACAAAATAGACATAAGACAGAACTTGAAGTGATATTGTAAATCAAATTAATTAAATTAATTTTCATTGCATTTAACATTCATGCTAATGTCAACTTCGGTGTTTATTAATCTTTAGTACAGCAAACAATTTCACAATATGGTGTATATATCCTCCCTGTGGTATTCTAGATTTAACTTTGATGTAAAGTACTTAATCAATATGATGTAAATAAATAATCTACGATTGACTTTTATTAGTCAAAAGATTATAAGCTGAAGCAGAAATTGAAATTCTTAAATGGATTTCGAGTAATTCATGACTACAATGGTACTGAAGATTTCTTAAGTAATGTTAAATTGGCTGAGTAAGTAAATTATTAATATGATTTTTTTTAAACTATGCTCCTCTCATGATATTGCCAGGATAAATAATAATTGAACAAAAACTCGATTGTGTTTAAAACAAAAAAAAAAAAAAAAAAAAAAACCGACCATACATAATTATAAATATATATTCAGATTAGAATAAAAATATATTGTTACATTTTTCATATAAAATAATTAGATGGAAGTTCTTTAAAACTCTTTTTGCTCTTAAAATGTGCTTAAAATACTAGAATTAAAAATAAACTAATTGTAGTACACGAGATTATAATTAATATACAATTACGCTTTTTTTTTCATTCTACTAAAACTATAAATATTAAATCATATGAAATATTTTTATTTATCGATGATTACAAAAAATATAGTTAAAAAAAAATTAATATCTGATATATTTGAATAAAGTATTATTAGTCAGTGATTTTGTTAAGCGATTAACAATTGTCGATATATTTTGTCTTTATTTTATAAAATCTATTTATTATATTCAATTTTATTATCAAATATTTATATTATAAGAATGATAAATTTAAGTATTGATAGATAATCGATGTTAAATCGTATAAAATATCCTTGTTTTTCAATGCCAGTAAGAAATATATTTTTAAACAAAATTTGGCATTTGATATTTTCAACAAAGTATCTGCAATTTTTAATTTTGTTAAATTATCATAAATTGTCGTTGTATGTTGTTTTTCATTAAATAAATCTATCTATTTATATATTTAATTTTATTATAAAAAAATTATATTGTGAAAATTGAATGAAGGTTTAAGTCATTGAATTTTGCTACTACGTATGCTGTTTTTGTATTCTAAAAAGTATCTAAGTTATTTATGGACAAAAATTTTTAAAAAATTATTGAATGTAGTCTTAGAAAAGATATAATACAAGTTATTGATCATAAATCCTTATGCTCTTCCCGTTCAAATATTTTTCAATCAACTCTATTTTATAAAAATATATTCCTAGTTCGTCGTAAAAACGAATTTTACTTTCAATTTATTTTTTAATCAGAAGCTATGTAAATTAAATATATAATATATTGAAATATTATAAAAATATTATAATATATAAAATTATTTATAATAAATATCTGTTTTATTATAATTATTATTTCTGTAATAAAATAATGAAATTATATATTATTAATTATTATCATACTCAATACAAATGAATAGTTATTTTAAAAAATAATGTATTTTGAAATAAAATATGCTAGCATAAAAATCTCATTACTATTGTGTAATTATTTCATTAATGTTATGTTAAAGCAAAAATAAAATCAAGGACAACCTATACATATCATTACATATTATTACGTAACATTACTTATAAAATGTCTTATAAAATGAGAAAAAGAAATATGCAAGTTTTTTTTCAAATTTTTGCTATCAATAGTTTCTTCATGATATTAAAAAATTTCCATTATTATTTATCATCCCAGAACATTAATATTCTTTTATTTCAAATTTCTATCTTAATTAAAAAATATTGACGTAAAATAATATAATACTAATAATAATAAATAAATTAATATTAATTAGAAAATTATAATGACCAATTTGTATTTCAAAATTTTTTAAACTTTATACAGCATTAAGTACTGTCCTTTTAGTTTATAATTAATCGTATTATTACTTTTATCATTACAAAAATAATAATTTAAAAATTTTATTTCGCGTTCGTTGTATGGAAATTTCATTTTATAAAAATAACATATGATTAATTAGATATATTCAGATTTATATTAAATTTAAAAAATGTATTGTATATCTTATATATATATATATATATATATATATATATATAT